AATTTTTTTCTCAGCTGAAGTAGGTGGCGCTGCTTCCCCAAAGTATCTAAAAATCTTGATCGAATATAAAAAGTTATTGTATCGAGTATTTATGATAATTTGAATTAAGAAAAAATTACTTCCACCAAGAATAAAATTTCAAGAAAAATTTTTACTTCGGCCAAGACAACTTCGGTCTTCCTTCGGGCACCCGAAAATTTACTTGAGCCAAGAATTTTGTTCTCCAGTCAAGAAATTTTTCTTTCTGTGCGGACCTCACAGATAATAGTTGGAACGACCTCCTAAGATCATAAAATATGGAGAAAATTTATAAATTAAAATTAAGCTTAGTTATGTATCGCTCACTAAACATTTTATTTTGTTAGATGATTTAAAAGTAATAGCATTGAAATTTTTTCGATCGTGTTTATGGCACTAACTTTATCGAAACTTGATCGCTTGTTAATGGGACATCCAATTTTTTTATCATGCATCTTTAATGAACAAATCGTTATGATATAAAATTATGCCCATAACAAATTGATCTATAGTCGAAAAACAATATTCGTAAAATGTTACAAATAATTTTTTATTGTTGCATAATCATTTTAAAATAGTTGTTACAACAAAATACGTAAATTACTTTTATTGCTATGGAAAAGATATGTATAGAAATTTTTTTTTATAAATTTATATCTAAGTTACATTCGATGTTAGTATCTCTGAAAATAGATTATCGATAGACAAAGATTACTACACAGAAAACTCCACAGCAATCGGTAATCACCCAAAGTGAAATGAAGCGTCGGAAGTTGCTTTCCTGAATTTCTATGTCGTTTTAGTTCAAATATCGACAACAGCCGAACCGTGACATAGCACCGAAAACGTACGATATATTTCGTCATTCAATACACGTAACTCGTGGATGAAACGAGCTTGTTTCGCTTTTAGAAATAAATACATTTCATGGTACTTTATCATATGTATAATTGAAACTTTTCTCTTCTTTTTTTTTCTGCAAATTTTTATCATTTTTCTGACGAGGTTTTTAAACAAATAACAATCCTAAACAACAGTATTGAAATTGCGAATTTATTAATTATTCATGACTCGTGATTAGCATCGCCATGAGAAGAAATCATGACCACAAAATAAAATGGTAAAATGGTGAAGATATAAATTGATTCGCTCACTACTCGGCGCCATTTTACGTTGATTACAATGCGGTTAGCTTGGTATTTCTTTGGCTACTTCAACCCCACATGTGGCCTACAATATAGTTCCCAGTAACACACCTACCCTCGGGCGAAACCAGCCCCCAAACTCAAGAAGTAGTCGAGACTCGAACAGAGACTTACAGATCGGATAAAAGCTCCGAGAAATGCTCACTCAAGTATCTTTTCTCTTTTCTCACTTACATGATCACTTTTGGCCAATGACCGCAAATAAAAAACGACTCGACTTTATTATAGAAATAGAACTATTTATCACTTGGACTTATATCTCCCATCAACAATCATTACTTAGACAATTTCCCCTAAAACTGTTTTATATATTATACAATTTCAATACTCACTTGAAAGTATTATCAAGTCAACGATTTCGAGTATGTATGTGAGTTTCATCCGTAAATTTATCGCCAAAAAAAAAAAATAAAAAAAATTTTGAAATTTTAATAATTCATAATGTAGTCTAATTAATAAAGTACTTCTAGCCTACTCTCTTAAAAGGAATCAGTGGAATTTCACTGGTTCACCAGTGAACGTTCACTGATTCCAACCAGTGATGCAATTTCACTGGTGAATCAGTGAAATCCACTGATTCGCCAGTGACATTGCATTCACCGGTTGGAATCAGTGAACTTCCACTGGTGAACCAGTGAAATTCCACTGATTTCTTTTAAGAGAGTAATTGATATTAGGCTGAGCACTCAGTAAAGAACCATTGTTGTGATAACTAATAATTTGACGAATCAAAATTATAATAAATTAGTAAATTTAATCTCACCGTTATACAGCATTAAAAAATAATTGCACTTTTGATATTTTTCAATCTTAATTTTTATAAAAATTATTGAACATATTTTACTATTGAAAAATCTAATAAATAATTATTTCTGTCTATTAACCCACATGGAGAAATATATATGTCAAAGATATATGTCGCATATATAATATATATGCCGCATATATTTACGCAAAAAAAAAATATGTCAACATATATTTTTCACATAGATGCTGATATATATGCAGAGATACATGCTTACATATATGTAGACATATATGTAAGCATACACTGAAATAAAAATTTTTAAGTTTGAGAATTTTTTTACTCAAATCAAGAAAGTTAAATTTTTCAAAATTATTTTCTTGATTCAAGTTAAATTTTTTTCTGTGTATCTCTAGACACTTATATGCGCACATATATGTTCACATATATGCACGCATATATGTGAACATATATGCGGACATATATTTAGCGCAAAAAAAATATATGTGAAAATATATGTTTGCATATATTTTTCGCATATATATTTTTCCATGCGGGAAGAAATAGAGCTTAAGACTAAGAAATAAAATAAAATTTTCTAAAATGGTTTTCTTGATTCATGATTTTTTTCTCTAGAATCGAGTTACAGTTTTTTTTTTTTGAGGCTGATAAAAAAACGCGAATCTATTATCTTTGATCCTATTTTCGGTGAAGAAACTCAACGGAGCTTGGCCAATTCGAATAAATACCTAGTCAGCTGGAATAGCATAAAATAAAAGGTAAAAATAAAAACCTAGAAAAGATTGATTGTCAACTGGGTTAAAATGACGTAAAGAAGAGTGAAGAGTTATATAAAATGAGTG